AAACTCCTCGATCCAGCCAAGTACGAGTCCCCGAATTCCATAGTTGTACATAGTTGTATCAGTATTTGTATATGAATGAACTGACAAAAGATTACCGGATACGCATGCCTGACGAGCGGCAAGAACCGCGGAACCGGTCGTGTGCTTCCAGGGAAACCTTGTCCAGCCATTCACATACTACTTATTATCAAGCTTATCATTTATCATGAAAAATGTGACAGAAGAATGCTGAGAACGCCATGCGGATTATAATCGGTGCTACGAATTATCTTGGTTTGCAAAACAATGTACGTCATTACCGCCATAGTGCAGTGAAGCGAACTTCGCCGATCGTTGCCAAGCTCACAATGTACACCAATTAAGTGATAAAGTACAAGATGTTGAGGGATTGCGCCGAATTAGGAGGGGGGGAGGCGGGACGGAAGAAAGTGAACTTCTATGGTCAGCACAAAGAGTACACAATCTGACTACGCATGCATACTTTTTCAAGCATTCTGACCTGATAAGAAATGTCAACAAGAACGCCACTGTCCGTCGGTGCCTCGAACCAGCCAGTTGCAGAGTCTTTTGATCCCCAGCCTGGGAGAGTTGAGACGCCTATTCTACCCAACCGCACTGCGCATTTATTCACGTCTCGTTTCCACGTCATCTGTTGACCTCTATGTGGTTTCATCTAACCTGGAGTAAGGCACGATGCGGTAGATGATAGCTTGGCATGTGCAGTATATGTCCGAACAAGTGAAGCCGACTAATCTGAATTCGACGAGACAACGAATTCTCCATGGAATCGCTACCAAATGATCGACGTCTTATCCCAGAGTTGCTTACATACTCGCTCCATCCAACCAGCACCAAAACACGTAAACATCGATGGTCGAAGATTTCTGGAAGACGAATATCTTCCATGCGCAAATGTAGGGTCTCGCAGCCATAAAGCAGACTTGGCAGCTCACTGACCCATAAGTTTCAATAAAACATTACGTCTGCACCAAAGGTATTTTAGTCCTTGTATCAGCTGCAGCATTTTAGCGAAATGGTAAGGTAAGGTAGCGGTTAGAAACGAAATTACTACATAGCCGAGATCCAAAACACGATTGTTCTGCTCGATACAATACAACACAATTAGGGGGTACATATCCCTTGTTATCGATCATGGAAACACTGATCTAGGTTTGCCAATAAAGCACTTACTATCAACGACTAACCTCTTTAGGTAAAACGTAGTTCCCCAATACTTAAAATAAATATATCAATGGTTACGTGACAGTTATAGTCGTAGAGATCTACGGAAGCTCATGTAAATATTGACCACAGTTAGAGAAATAAATTGAGTTGTTGAATTACTAGAGAACTCATAATGCAGACGATTCTACTGAATATTGAAGTCGAATGAAAATTTGGTATGAAGAGTTCTGTCGGTTTCTTCAGTGTTCGCGGTTTTGTAAAAGAAAACCGTTACGGGATCTTTACATACGCACACATACTCGGACGTTGACTTTACTCATATTTTTACTCTTAAAGTTACAGAACCGCTCAATTGCGGGCAAACTGGCCGTGATATGCAAAGAACTGTGTGAATCGACAGAAGACAAGAAAGGCAATAAGCTAGTTATTCCGTGAGATTGCATCGTTCGACCCTTGGACCGATAATTGAGCCACGTGATAAAGGAGATATTAAATTTTTTGCGTATTACCTTATTTTATCGGGTAGTCCCTTGGACCATGGACAATGCTCTCTCGGTTGCGACCACATTGGCAATATGCGCCTGGTTTGCCGCAACAAGCCGATCCAAATGTACCAAGATCTCATAATCCGGGACAGACAAATGTTCACTGTCCAGTCCAAGGTGTCTAGCCACCACTGCGCGGAAATCTAAAAGCTGAAAACATACAGTTTTTGTATCAGGAAGGACAAGAAGGGAAACAGTATATTCATTCTTACCCGGAACAATTTGTAATAAACATGAGGATAAAAGCGTCAAAAGGGAGTTCAAATTGGGAACACGACATATCGCCATATCCACTCACGCATTAAAATAATGCGTTTGATGCTTCAAATAGGTCAAGCTTGTTTTGGATGAATGTGTGTGCAATATGTTGGGTGGACAACAAGCGATGTGGTCATGAGAAAATTGGAATGGAAATGTGTGGACTGCATACAATAAAAATGTGTTGGTCGGGAAAAGATGAAGCAGGTGAGAAAGTGTAAGTAAAAGTAAGTACATGTGAGGGGAAGGAAAAAAGGAATACTTATACGGAATTATGAGAGAAGCGCTTTGATGGCCATGATTGGAGCTGCACTTGAACCAGATTACATTGCTTTCAATCATAATTGCTATGGATTCCGCAGTTGTCAGAAACTAAAGAAACACTTTGGTGTAGTTCTTGAATGCTATTATAAAAATCTAGCAAACACTGCTTTGTCCAATTTTGACCAGGTGTAGTGTTGTGGTAAAATACTACTCACTTGTAAGTAGTACGCAAAAGGATGCGATCAGTGGTTTCTTTCAAAGACCAAAAGTGAACAAGACCTGTTGGAGCAAACTGTCGCTGTATGGTACGATGAACACAAGAATGCGCATCTGTTGGTGAACCGTTACATTATATATCCTGTGTGTTTGTGAAAATTCTGCAAACTTTTTCCAAATAAGATAATCTGTTGTATGATTGACAATTTAACCATATCCTGAATGTTATTGGCAATAAACAAATATCGTCGACCAACACCGCCTCTTGGATTTATAACAGTATGAATGAACTGTTCAATTTCCTTAATGATCTTTTTCGATGAGTGCTTAGACAATGTTCAGATATTCTCCGGTACCGAGGACCTAGAAATACTCACTTGTTCCTCCGAGCGACGACTTGCATCGAGTGACTCTTTCATGCTTCGCAGTTCACCCTCCAGACTGATATACGCTTCTTCAATTCTTCGTACCTCTGCAGTGCAAGTTTGTCGAACGCGTTCCAATTCAGCACGAGCTTTTCGAGCTTCCTCTTTTCGTTCCTCACAAGTTTGTTTCAGTTCGTTTATTCGAAATTCCGATGTTCTCAGGGTCTTTGTTTGTTCAATACTTGTTAACTGATAAAAACAACGATTAGATAACAACCAGGTAGGTGATATTGGTGACGTGAATTCATAATGAACGGATTCGATGATGTTGCAACTGACAAAGTATGATCTCACACAGGTTTGGATATATTTTTTCCTTTTTCTGTAAAGAATGATTCACAAGTTCCTCGCGCTAAATACATGGTTTTTGAACGTACAAAATAGTTGTCTAATTCAATAAAAAGTTGTTCATGGTGGTTTCTGATTATAATTTACTGCAGTATGCAACATACACAGCTTCCGTTAACCTAAAAAGGACAAAATAGGACTAAAATCTTAATTTTTGATGAAATTATTATTTTCATGTGAACATTTTCCACTTCACTTTTTCTACCCATTTATAGTTCTTCGGTATCAGCCTAAAGTAGGAGTGAAAATATCGGGTGATGGGGTTAACTCTCCGAAAAGACCCAATCCTGTTAGTTAGACACCAAATCAATATTTTGGTGCAACTCCGTGACATTTCACTCACTTCTAATCTATTCCACATTGGTTGATCCCCTGAGTGATCCAAGGAATGACCAAAAGTTGAGAATGGTTGTGAAACAGAGCAGTTGCCCAAACGGTACTCGTATTATCAAATGGATGATGCATCTTTTAAACTCCATCGCTGTTGAGTAGCTCTTTCAGTGCGGTCTGTCAGGACCTAAGTGTTTCGTCACAAACCAAGTTTGTTACTGACAAAATCCGGTAAATGTCCACCAGATTTGACTATCCTGTTGATATCAGTGACTGTTCTTCGATCACAACCAGATATTCACAAGATAAACCGACAAAAAATCGAAATGCTCGTTCACGCCACATCGATACTTAAAAACTAACAAATTGATGAGAAGGAATAAGCGCTTGTAAGACAATGTCAACTAAATACAGTCCATACGTCTCCTCAATTAATAGTAAAATGTTTGCAATTTAGTTACTAAGCTTGAGAAGCAAGTGAACTTCATAAAACTCATTTACCGACTTCACATTCGCTGTAATTACAGTTTGATCATAGAGCATATCTTCAGTCCCTTGGTATTTTTTAAATCATTTGAAAAAATATCAATTGCAGAACCAGGCTTGAGGATCCCAGCAGATCCCAGGGAAAGTGGTATTGGTTGTCAAAGAATTTTCGGCGAAGACAAATAAGTAGCACAGAACTACTCTACTTGTCAATAGGGCGTGAAAGTACGCACCATTGATGAGTCCACAAACAAGTGGAAAAAAGCGGTCCAGCGCAGCTTGTCAGTCCTCAGAGGAAACTTTTAACAACCGTTGCTGCATCAAAATGTATAGGATTCATTGAAATTCGAACGAGAGACATGCAACTATTATGTTTAAGTGAATTATCGTGGAATAAAAGCGAAACATCTAAATTTTCACTGAGATTAACCTGACGGTTACAAAGAAGAACGCATTATTCTCACCAAATTTTACTTGTAAAACTAGACAATTGGTAAGTAAAGAGGGTAACCCACTTAACTAAAACAAAGCGCACATAAATCTGTTCAAATCGGTGCCTGGACCTGTACTCGAAATTCCCAAAGTACCACAAAATGAGTTCAAAACACTTGACTTCATGAACGATGTTAAGTTGACTTTCATGCACATTCGTGAACCGTACTCACGCGTGTCAGTTGTCCGACGAGAAAAGCAAAGCATTTGGTAGCCACACCATTTTGATACGGAGTGAATGGGAAAAAGTAAAGTGAGTCAGTCGGCAGTCTACTCTTAATTGAAAACTAGAGACGTATTAGATATCTTTCATTGTTCTCGGGTAGATAAAAGATGCGGAGAAACCGCTACGTATCACCGTATCCCTGGTAATCTTCGGCCTCGTGTGAAAACCGAGAGGCCACAACGAAGAACATCTGAGGAGTAGTCTATTTGTAATTTCATCATGTCTGAAACAAGAAAGTGTCTTTTCCGGTTCTGAGCGTATCTTGAAATGAGTGTAAGGCAATTGTGGCCTCGACCGGTAAACATTTGTTGGACGGATAACAGCCTTCGAAAGACGCACCTCAATTGGGCCATTTATCAGTATCATTGAAGAGAAGAAATGAAAGCAAGGTTTCAGTTGCAGATGGTGAATGAGCGCGGAGGTCAAAGGGAAAGATGTTTAAAACGGAATGAATGTATGGTTTTGGTAAAGTGGTTTTCATTCTGTCATTGTGTGAAAGTTATTTTGTTTGATGGAGATAGTGTGTTGATTTTCATCAACCGAACCGTGATTGATTCGAAGTGTCCAAAGACAGAGGACGAGCCATGAAAACCACCGCTAAGATAAGGACTAAAATGTACCTTGCAGAACAATAACGGTTATACACACACGTATAAATGTGTCCACATAGTTAAACTGTACAGTTGCATTCGCTGTATTCTGTGGCCAACCAGACCGGTAATTTTGATTCGATCGCTTGACAAGAAATGCAATGAAAACTTCGAAGCCACCACACCTGACGGTAGTCACCTTGGCTGATGACACATTTTCAAGTAAATTACCAAACTCGGTGAACTTGTGTGGCACAAAATTTTGTGTTTCCTCGTCTGAAGTAATACCCTCAATTGTATTGTACTGCATGACTTTAGGTTTTTCATTAATGACCAGTCTCTGCTCAGCGATTATTTCACTGGGAGAACATACCGAATCGAGTTTCTTGTTAAAAATCCTGATTCACTACCAAATAATTCTGGGAGGCTGCAAGAATCAAAACTGTCCCGTTCTCGTTCGATATTCGTGACCTACCTATCAACCCTGATGAGCTTCTGAAAAAATGTCATCAATGGTTTGCAAATTCCAAGGTGACTTCCGTTTCTCACATCTCTAAACCAATTTAACTGCCATAAGCAATCTTCATTCATAGGTTAACGCCCTGAAATGCAAAGATCCACCTTCTTACTAGCCAATGGATAACGGCTGCACTATTCAAACATAATTGCTCTGTTCTCTGTGACGGCAAACACACTGCTTCCCCAGTACGTTCTTTACAGTACATCGATATCTCTATCTGCTAAAATCTCACGTGAACTTCATATTTTAATTGCACTTTTTCAAAATATTCGAAGATTGTGTTTCTTTAGCCCTCGCTTGCACTCTTTAAGAGTTCCACTGCATTTACTCATCCGTTTTGGATATTCTTTTATTGTCACTCACCTTTACCGATAGTAAGTCTTATCTGCCGGTTTTGAAGTTAAGGATTGCAATTCCACGTTGACCCGCTAAAATCAATTCACAAACTAGCAGTATTACCCATTTGCGCTTACACAGTCTTATCGCCGAGAAACATTGTATCGCTTGCAAAAAATGACATCCATTGTTGCATTATCGTGATGCTTTCCTCTGTCAAGTTTACTATGCTGCACTAGATTTTTCCTTTGTGAGTGTATGCAATGATAAATGACCTCGGTATACACTGAGCTAAAAATTCATTCTCTGGGATGAATGAAACAATCGATGAGTTTTAGTTGACTTTAAAAATTATTTCAGCTCACCCGAGCTACGAGAACCGATGTTCAGTACCTTAACTAACGCTGTGCAGTCATAATCACATGTAGATCAGTGGTTGGGAAGCATTTTTTCTGTTTTTTTTCTTAGCCGCGAGAATGTGTCTGGGTGGTCAGACAGTATCGTGCGTGATTTCCCTCGGTGAGCGGCATTCTCATTTTCTGCCCCTTAACAAATATGAAATAAAAATCATATGATTCCATCAGTCAATCAGTCCATGACTGATAATGGCACAATGTCTCGAACTAAGTAACTTTTTTGCAGTTAAAAAAGCAGAAACATTGTTACCCGGAAGAAATAAATTCATATTCTCGGGACATTTTCAAATTACCAAAGACAAAACCCATTAGATGACATCCAAGATTTAAATTAAAAAAACATTTTCCACACACCTTCACCCATGAAGACGCATGTATACATTTTTACTGTCGAAAATGTCCGTCTCTAATTACCTTATCTCGGCTCGCCTCGAGGAGCCGAGATTTTAGGAGAACGATTTCTTCTCTCAGCTTGTCTGCATCTTCTCTCGTCTGTTGTAACTGTTTCGCCAAACGACGGCGTTCCTTTTCCGAAGCGGCCAGGGTTGCTGGTGTCTGACTGGCTGGGGTGGTCACATTTATCCGGTTTTCCTGTGTCTCGGCCAAACGTCTTCGCATAATTGATAACTGTAGTTCTAATGCATCGACTCGTTCTTTTGATCCCCGTAAATCCCGTTGCAAACGGGAGATTTGCAAACGTTGTTTCGCCTGTTTTTCTGTGTCATCGTGTTGGAGTTGTGTGATGCGAGCTAAGTAGTAGATAAAACCGAGTGGACTTGTAGTGGTCAATAACACATTGAAATTGAAAATGGTTGACAATATCACTCAAAAAATGACAATGTTAGTAGGCAACCAAAGATGCAATCGCTTATCAATCACACATCGTAAACTTTATGACAATTCAACTACATTCCAATTTCTTCATTATTACGTGCAGTAACGTGGTAACGTCGGCTTCGGATAGATAAGTATCACTACTAATATCTGATGAAAACAGTCTAAGATAGTTAATGAGTGATTTTATAATACAATTGTAAGGTATATACCTTCGGTCACCGACGCATTATTATTATTATTATTATAGTTATTATAAATGACTTGTGCAGGCGACTGTGCCTACATTTCAGTCAAAAAATGTGTTCATCGTTACAGTGGGACAAAAAATGAAATGAAAATTCATATACAACAATGATAAAACTTAGATAGGTGTTCACCTTTGAAGGTCTAAAATTAGTTCGTTGCGGATCTTTCCCGTGTCAGTGAGAATAAGAGCCAGATAGGGAACCGTTGAGTTCCGATTAATGTTTATGCGAGAGGGTAAGCAGCGAAGATTGGATCGGGTTGTAGCGTGGGAATGGCAAGCAGATAAATCGGGATTGAGCGGATGACTGGGGTCATCAAGTATCTTATGAGCGAAATTATCACATATGAAAATCACACAATATTTTGATTGGAGTGTTTAAAGGAATAAGATAAACACGGCTGATAATTACTAAACCGCGACGACGCTTATTGAAATCCTTTTTGAGTAGTCCAGGGAAAATAACGGGTAAGCAATAAAGTATGAGAGGAAAAACGCATTGATAAACAAAGGAACATATAGTTTCATGCTTCACTCGAAATTGTCGTAGCTTGCGTATTTGGAAGGATAAGCGACGCAATCTATCAACACAGGCTAGCACATGAGAGGAATACTATGTTTAGAATACTATGTATGGTGACTCCTAGGTATTTGGTGGTATGTGTTCTGGTGATGGGTACGGAATTGATAATTGAGGGTTCCAAGGGATATTCAGATCGGGAAAGACTAAAAATGCATTCGAAGCATCTAGAAGTATTCAATTGGAGACCGGATTGGTTCGAGAATGATTGCACCTGATATAAACTGTTGGAAAATGATTCTATGTCAGATTGGTTTGAAATGGCTTGACGTAAAACTACACCATTGGCATACTTAAAGGTCTTGGCTGGTGGGATTAAGGGTAAGTCACTGATGAAAGTTGAAAATAAGTAGGGAGAAAGCACAGCACCCTGAGGGACTCCAGAATTATTCGCTAACGGTTTTGAAATAAGGCCCCTTTGGCTTTCGTTATTTGAATTCTTCCTGTGAAATAATCTTTGAACCATGACAATAAGTTGGTGGGGCAACCGAATGACTGTAAAGTTCGCAGAAGAAGAGATCGTGGAACGGAATCAAAAGCCGAGGAATAGGCATGGAAAACACAACGAACCGACTTTTTAGAACTATCTAAGGATTTGCAAATAAAGTTCATCATTGAAGGGACGGCATCCAAAGTGCATCTATTTGGCTCATACGCAAACTGGAGGGGGTCATTGGGAACAATAATACCAGATCGCAAGCGGGTGAGAATAGCGCGCTGTGCAAGTTTAAGTCCAGAGGAGGTGACGGCGATAGGACGAAAGCATTTAGATAAAATGCTAGATGAAGATTAATAAGGAATGGGAGCAATGGTGAACGGTCTCCAGGAATCCGGAATTGAACATATGTAAATTGATTGGGTAATAAGGGACGCAAACATCTCTCTGATTAAATGTAATGATCGTAGTAGTAGTATTACGCACAGAACTCAGAACACACACCACAAAATAGGAATCACAGAACACGGATTATGGAAGCACTGGACCGCAATGGCACTAACACACAATGTCTTACGCAACTGAGGCGCGAGGAAAAGGCCACAAGAATGATAGTTCGTACTTCGTTCATTGAAAGAAATGAGGGCGATTAAATGATATGTAGAGAAGAAGCTCATTGGTTATCTAGGCTTTCACCAATCGTATTGCAGTATTGCTTGCATAATTTTGCTTCTGTCTGCACTGTCTCGGATTGGCTGGCTCGATCTGCCTATGGCGTGTAGTCAGAGCCGTACGCGTGTCATTGACGTCACCTTTCAAATTTGGTTGATCGCAGGTGTCCAGAAACTGTAACGCGCCGCCCCAGGGTAGGCGTCATCACGTAGGCCTGGAGCACCAAACTGAATCAGCGCCATATTTGGGCACAGACGAAAATAGATCATCGGGCCAACTGCGTTCGTCGTTTTCGTAGTTTTAAGATGATAGACTTCCTCATGGGTGCCCGGGTCTACTTTAGTTAGGTAATCTGTAGGGTACGGAGACGGGATCATCTGTAGGATACATTAATGCATCATTAAGGCTGTCCACGTCAATAATTTTGTTTGTCGTCCTTTTGTTCTGTCCGCAAAGCAATCTGATCCCTTGTCATAACCGTCTTCCATCTCCAGGTCCCAGAACTTGCTTTGAGAATGAAACATTCAGGTTTTTGGTCTCTGACCTGATTTGCAGCGTAAGCTGTTTGACTGTGGCTGTTTACTGCATCTTGAACGCTAGTTGCTTTTGTTTTCTCAGATCCTTTAGCCGCGGAGAACATACTTTGTCAGTGTGAACAAAAACTGTTTCTATAGGACAGCATAATCTGAAAATAACATTAGCTGTTTCTGTAAAATGTTCAGCAGAACAGGGAGATTGTTGAACGAAAAACCACGAGGAGATAATAGCAAGAGATTTCCTTAGAAGAAGGAGTCTGTCGGCTGAATAATCCGAATTTTTATGTTTAATGGTTTTTAAAAAAATAAAAGCAGGGTATGCCAACCGAGAGTAAACTTTGGGTTTAGGAGATAGGAGACACTGGTCACTAGTAATAACCTTTTCCAATACAGTATCTCCTCTGTTGGGCGTTAGAGATAGATCAGATAGGCCGAAAGAGAGTAAAGGTTGGGTTGATCCATAGTTTAAATCACCAACAATTATAATTAAATTGTCATCAATGAGCAATGAAAGGAATGAATTCATCATAGAAAGAGCTAATTTCAATAAGTGAAGAAGAAGGTTCAATGTGTGGATTGGTAATAATCGTGCTCCAATAAGGGAAAAATCTAGATCGATATGAAACAGTTAGGTAGTCAATACCATAAGAAGAGAAAAGGAAACAAAGTTTCGGACTTGCCGCACCAACTGGAGTTAATGTATTACTCCGCCTCCAAACTTTTTTTGCTTCTTTCTGTCCTGTCGAAAACTTGCAGAACCAGGTATGTTGACCAGCAAATCGTCTGTGTTTTGGTTGAGCCACNAGCCACGATTCCTGTGTGCATATCACACACGTGTTTGTGTGCATGCGATAAGTTAGCAGATCGGTGAGGTCAGCCAATTTGTAAAACAGTGAGCGAATGTTGGAAATAATTAATGAGAAAACCGCCATCTTCACAGGAGAAATGTTTGCAAGCACAGTCTGCCACCCGGCACGCTTGTGTTTTTTGCTCCGAGCAGAGAATCCAGTTCGGGTAGAACCATGTGAGTTGGATGATATAGGATAATAATAAATATCCTACATGTGTAATAATAATTCCCTGGGATACGAACGCTGGGAGAACATGGAAGAAAATAAGCAATACATTTCAATACTTGAGTGAACACAAACAAAATGCAACCAATCGAAGGGCGCGCGTTAGATCGTGTCGTAGAGGGGACACTCAAGCAAATAAACACAGTGAAGAACACTTTACCTGTCCTGTCCCCTAGATGGACACAGGAGTGGGGTACCTGGGGCTTCTTGCTGACGTTAGGAGAACTCTTCTCACTACAGCCCTCCCAATATGGGC